ATGAACCATATAAATAGCGTAATTTCAAAGCCATTAAGCCAAATGAAGAAAGGAAACTGCTTTCTGGAATGACTTTCTCTCCAGGGACTTATACTTATTACAGAGAAATCAAATTTGAATTTCCTTGCATCGTTTATAACAGACATTAAAACTTTTTATTTCTGTGTAATATTCTACCAAATTTTACCGCTTACTTTTATAAAGCTTTTTCTTGAAAAAGGTTTTTCCTTTAAATGGTTAATTAAAAAATTAAAAGGCTGTTACAAAGAATAACACTTCGCTATGGGCGGTTTGATATTTTCAACCTAGTCAATTTTTAGTTTTTTATTCCTCAGTTCATCTCAGGGGACGTGAAACTGAAGGTAGATAGGTAAAAAACAAATAAACACTTCAAACGGTTGATCATTTTTCTAGGGTTTTGGAAAGCAAAGGAGAAAGAAATCTTGTTTCTTAAAACATAAACCAGAAACGAACAGTCAAATAACAACATTGGCGGAAACGCATTATGCAGAACTCGAAATCTTTGTTTTGCTTTGGAAAGGAAGGAAACAGCTGGGATTTCCAAGATATGCAATGCATTTGAAATTTAAATAATAGTTTTATTTGTAAGCACGTCCTTAAGTTTAGTTATTATTTTCTTTATTAGTTTATACCAAAAAAAGTAAATATTGCTTTTTACCACGCCATTTTATTGGGTGAAAATCATGCGTTAAATTATCAGTCTTAACACTTGCCAAAAGAAATCTGGGATATATTTTGCTTTGGGCGTTCACAGTTTCCAATTTTAATTTTTTGACATTGTGGTGGCTCAAATTGAAGATGAAGGTCAGCAAGAACGTTTTGCCTGCCTGTCTTTGGCAACGTTGATGGAAAAAGAAATACTTACCAAATAGCAAGCGAGAGAAAACGCAACAACTAAGTCTGTGGGCCCTGCGATGTGACCTTTATGAATGCGTGTTTGAAATGTTCCGACTAACCGGTGCAGGTTATTTTAGAAAATCTATTCTCCAGGTATAACCAAATGCGAGGCCGCAATTCTGATAATCATGTTCATTATAATAGCGATTGAATTCAGTGCGCCCTTAGAATGACTTGGCTAGCCAGAGAGCTTTGTTTTATCAAAGTATAAAACTCACTGCAAAGTGTGACAGATTATTTTAGTTTCATAAACTAAAAGCTTATGTATCAAGAAGCTAAATCTATGTGCCTTACTTTCATAAGACTCTCAGGTTCAGAGAGCACTTTAGAAATAAATGCATAAAACATTTGCATAACCCATCAGGCTGTCTGTTAGTAGTGTTAGCTGCATGTGAACTAGTGACTAGCAAACACCTTCACTTTGATTTTAGAGCTTGGTGGATAAATACATACCTACAAGTAGACGAATGTGAGGTTCGTGTTAGATAAAAGAAAAATGCATATCTACTGCTGTAGTCAGCGTTCTCTCTATACACTTTGAGGACTATACCAATTTAAAACTAAAAATTTATAATAACTAAAAGAGAAACGTCGTCCGTTTATAAAACTAAAGATAAAAGCAGTTCGTGAATTTTGTTCCAATTCGTTCTTGAACTGGAATCATGGTCCTCAACCCCCACCCCCACCCCCCGCCATCTTTGATACCATCTCAGAACTGTATTTTCACTCAAATATGACAACACTTCACAATGTATAAAAGTTAAAGGCGAAGATATATAGGATGACCAGTAACGGTAATTTAGTGAGAATAAGATTTCTACGCTAAACAAAAACAAATGTTAGAAATTCCAGACAAAGTGAACAAAAATGGACCGAGACGTGTAACAATTTTCAACAGTTATAAGCAGATGATGACCTTTTCAATATGAAAAACTGTTCTTTATTGTTCAGGCGACAAATGATAGATTGTTTGCTCCTTTTTTCATGAAGCATCACAAAAATAAGTTATTGTTAGTGAAGTACTACAATCTAGAATCATAGCTGGGAGATTTCGTTATGAAATCGCTGAAATAACTGAAGCAAAAAAAAAAACAAAAAAACACTTGAATCGCCGCCAAGTTAAAACTGACGATGGAAACGAGTCTTAATGTCTTCCTCCTGTCCCACAGAATTATATGCTGTTTTGGGCTTGGTGCGTTTCCTTAATCTTTAGCAGATTATTGATAAGGCCCTTTTTAGAGAGTTCCACAATCAGATAATGAATTTGGAGACTGAGCAATTAAAGATCATTGTAATGCCGCTCACATATCACAGACTGTCCAAAAATTGAAGCTAAATTGACATGTTCTGTAATGAATCTCCCCTTTCCTGTTTTCTCTGTGTTTTCAAGTTGTCGTCTGCGTAGAGTAAGAAGTACTTCAATCTTACTTGACTGAGAGCGTGTCACCTCGTCACGTCAAGGTATGTTTACGAACGTTCACGTAAATTCCCCTAACTTTAATACACTGCCACAAATTGATGATAATAACACGAATTATAACGGATCATTATAGCGGACCGAGCACTCCACCAAAGAAGTAGCAACGACTACTTCAATACGCGTCATAACGTTTCTTTTTGACATGGATTTGTATGGGCCCTCGTCTACCTTGGAGATGTCGTCGACAGACTTGAATGTTTGGCCATCACGAAGTAATTTTTTCTCCTTCTCTTTCCATTATTTCTATTGCCCTCTATAGTGAGCTAATTGCTTTTACTTCTATATCTCTGCGGCGTTCAGGTTGCACGAAACATTGCTGTGCAGCATAGTGTGCTACATTGCCGGTTTTCTCTTTCTATTTTTCTATGTTAGCTTCTTTAAATTTTAAAATTTCGTACTTTATTGTCGCGTATTGTCAGTTAAGAAAACCTCAAGGCAGGCCAGAAGCCAGGACTTTTGTTGGGGGGGAGGGGGGAGAGATTGGGGGCGGGTTATTGCGTGAAAGCGCTACAGGCGCGATAATGGAAGCACCCTAGGAATCCGGATAAAATTTTCGCCTGGAGTAGAGTTAATGCCCCGCCCCCTCACTATATGAAATGACACTCCACTATGTATAAAAACGAATCTAGAATGGAAATATTTGTGCGGAACATTCTAGCTTGCCACCACAGTAGTGCCGCTGTGCATGATAGCGAGAGTGTCCTAAAACCAAGAAACAGCGGCCAAGTGGATATCACACTGCGGTTTCTTTTGTTTCAATGAATTTGCTTGGCTTCTGGCAACGTGAGTGAAAAAAATATCTACACAGTTTAGATTACTTATGCTGGCGATAAAAAACCGTTTAGTAATTAAGTTACTTAAAGATGGTACGATGGTGAGTCACGGTAATTTAGTGAGTATAAGATTTCTGCGCTAAACATAAACAAATGTTTCAAATTCCAGGAAAAACTGGAACGAAAATGGACCGAGACGTGCAACAATTTTCACTAGTTATAAGCAGATGATATCTGATAAACTGTTCTTTACATGTAGGTTGGTCCTTTTTTCCATAAAGCTTATCACAAATAAGGAATTGTTAGTAAAGCATCACAGTGGTTACTAATTTTAGCGAATAACTGAGAGGTTTCTTTATGAAATCGCGGAAATAACTGACCGAAAAAAAAAGAAGGTAAAAAAAAAAAAAAAAAAAAATTGCATGGCTGCTGGCCACGTGAGTGAAAAATCTCTACATACAGTTTAGGTTACTATCTTGGCGATTTAAAAACGTTTAGTAAGTTACCTAAAGAGGATAGAATGACAGGTTACCGTAATTAGGTGAGCATTCAAAGATACTATTTCTGCGCTAAACGAAAACAAATGGTAAAATTTTCTGAAAACAAGGAAGGAAAATGGATGGAGACGTGCAAAAATTTCAATAGTTATAAACAGATTATGACCTTTTTTGTATGATAAACTGTTCTTCATTGCTTAGGAGACAATTTTTGATAGGTTGCTTCTTTTTCCATAAAGCCTAACAAAAATAAGGCATTGTCAGTGAGGTATAGCTACCAATTTTAACCAATCGCTGGGAGTTTTTGTTATGAAATCGCTAAAATTACACACCCCAAAAAGACGCCACGGCGTCACGCAAACGATTTCTTCGCAGTTTTCTTCTATTTTTTAGTCGGGAGGTATAACAAAACACTTAATGACTGGTGAGCAAAATAAGATAATGGAAATAGAAAGGGTAGTAGACGAGATTTAATTTACGTTTGAAGGGCGCTTTTCTTGAAACGCAAAAGGGGATACCACTCCTTATCTTTACACAAATTCTAGCGAAGGAAAATAACTATGGTTTATTCTTGACTTTTTGGCGTGGACGGTTACCACTGTTGAGAACCATGTAAAGTAGGAATGAATCTGCTCGGGGCGAATAAGAGGACGTAACCAGGCAATGAGAGCTCAAAAAATTTACGGTTCGATCAATATAACAAGCGGTAAATATTCAGAAGAGCAGTAAATGGTACAAGATGTCGAAGTCTAGCCATAATACAAATTCCTTTACTTATTTTCAATGAGATATATGATCTTTCAAGAGAGACTATTAAAACTCCTAGTTATTTCACATTTGTTTTTCGTTCGAGCGATATCAACTGCTTGGATTTTTACTGATAGATTGAATATTTGTAGACTAACTTCGAAGTCCAGTTTATGCTGACAAGGATAAAAGATAACGGAGTCAGATTTTCTTGGGTTGAGTTTCTTGATATCTAACCAATCACAGAATTTGGAAAATTCTTCATTGATGTCAATTTCGAGTTTGTTTAGATCTTTCTATGTGTATAATAAATTAGTATCATCAGCAAATAAATAAAAATCAAATTTGTAATTAAGCTTAACTACATACAAATACTTACCAGAATACAAAAATGCTTCATACTGGTAAGGAAAACTACCCAGTTCAGCTAAATTTCTTCAATTGCAGACGGAGAAGATAACATTCTGACCTCATTATAGATCCTACGTATTACGTTTAGGGTAAAAATAATATAAATAACAAAAAGTTCTAGAACTTTTGTGAAAGATAATTACTAATTTATATCTGCTCAGTGATGTGGGCTTTTAAGTTTTTATTTGTTTAGTTAAAAGCGCCGAGTGACTCCGAAAGCCATGACCCAAGTGTCAATGACTTTCCACTCTTTTTTTCCAATCGTTTCTTTACTTATTGATGTTAAGGGTTAAAATGATAGAGCATAGCTTTTGCACGGCATCTGTGGTGACTATGTTTCTTATCTGCTAGACAGAAGTGAAAAATTATCACGAAACTTAACATGAAACTCTCAGGACGTTCAGCCTTTAGACAGAGGATTATCAAATAGAAGGAGGCCTATCGAATGATGTTACCCAGACATTGTTTCCATCTCACCCGCACGAACTCGATTTGTATCAAAATGAGTTTTTCTCATCGGTGAAACAATTAAAATAGGGTAATGAACTCCGACCCGTGTTAACTGACGAGAACTGTATGCGACTATGTGTTAACATATGAAGGGCATCGGTGCATCATTTCCAAATTGCACTTGTAAATAATTTATAAAGATTCTGTTAAGCCGATGATGTGTATTTTGCAACTGAACCAAATTGTCGCCGAAGCATGATAAACCATGACCATGAGCTTATTATAATCAGTTGATTTTTCATCCAAGGCAATACCATCGCCTTAAACTGAATCTTTCCATCAACTTGAATCTTGGGACTAGCTTTGAAGAGTGCGGCCCAATATGGCAACCAGACATGGGTGCATGGTAAAAGTACTAAAAAAATCCTCAGAGTGTCTGAGTACTAACAAAGCACTTGTCATACTCATTCTCGTATTCTTAATTTTGAAACCTCGCCTTTGATGGAATTTCAGTCTGAAAGTCTGACCCAAGCCCTGACCTAAGGGGCGCCGGGCTGTTGTGCAACCAGACTGCTCTCAGTAGCTAGGTAACCTGTCTTATTTTAACAACGGTTTCTGTAATATCAACCAATACTATCGGCTTTCAACTATGACCTCTCAGCTCAGTTACACAGTACTACAGTTTGATCAGTTCCGTCGGCCCGACAAAAGATTCCAAAGTTCAAAATATAGATTGTAAAACCCCTCTTACAGTATTATACCCCTGTCCAATTCTCAGAACTGAATACCAATTCTCAGAAGATGAATACTGTTGGCAAAGCTTGCTATCAGTATTCATATTCAATTCATTATCTATTACTTTTATGTATACGTAATGTTTGAAAAGCTTACTCTTGCACTCTGCGATGTCACGAACAGTTTGTTCGCATCAGATCGAATCTTTGATCAATATCTTCAATTGGACTTCCTGGTATTTCCTTTATTTTATGTGTGAAACGTTTGAAAACGTTACTCTAGCGTTCTTGCGATGTCTGAACAGTTTGTTCGCATCAGAATTTTGATTATCATCTTGGGCCCTCCAGGTATTTAATTTCTTTCGTGTGTAAGCGGTTTGAAAAAGTTTGTTCGCATCAGAGTTGTTTGAAAATATCGTAATCTCATTCCGCGATCTTAAATATGTGACAATAAAGGAAACTGCTGTAATAGTTCGATTACTTAAAGTCTCTTTCTAATCATAAGCGCCCGTTGATTAAGTTTGAAAGCGTTTTGCACTAGTAGTTTTAGTGGTTTAGTGTTCAGTTAAATCAATAAGGCAGCTTTAAAGTAACTTTAAGTTCATGGTGTTTGTAGTCTGAGTACTTCTGAGATGACAGCGTGCGTGCAGTAAGCGTCTACGCCTTCTCTTGAACTGCTGAAGTCTGTAAGCGGCGGGGTATAGAGTTAAGTTGAGTCAATAGGGAATTAATTAATAACGTCACTGATTTTTTTCCATGCATAAGCATTTATACGTGAAAAAATGCAGTAATCTGAACGTAATTTTTCCACTTTCATTAAAATCTTCATACATCTAAAGATGAAAGAGTGTGCGCAAAGACTTGCATGTTTCTTTGCATGCAAGCGCCATTGCCCCAGCTGCATGCTGATCATGTGCCATTTTCAGGAGGCTCCCAAGATGGCCACCGCAAGTTTGAAGGCATTTTTTTTCCACGATCAATTTCATTTAATTCCTTCCAAAACTCATTAGGTAACACTTTCGTCAGTAAAAATATCCGACTTTGCTTGAACTTTGCTTGAAAGTTTAAAAAAAGCCGTGTGGGCGCATTCAATCATGGCGACATTTGAGTTCGCAGCTGGGGAGAAGTTAGCTCAGCCGAGTAGATATCAAAGGAATTTATCTCCAAAACAAACCACTGTGTCGATACTGTAGAATCGAATAAAGATTACTGTTGTCACTAATATGCGAGAAGAACAGCTTTGCATGATGAATAGTTTAGATTTCTGTGACGTCAGATTTCAAGGGCCAATTCATGATAAGTTTTCATGTTCCTGATGACATTTCTTTCGGTTGACTTAGCACCACTTTCCTAGGGCACATCGCAGCGGTCAATATTGATCAAACATGATTCCTTGCCGCACAGATCAGGGCAAATAACTGACCACGGCCTTCATCAAAAATCTGGAAACTCAAAGATGAAGTAACAACGCAGCCCTTTTGCAGGTATTCTACTTATTTCTTGCTGTGAAATCTCTTAAATGAGATTCGATATACTTTTTAAAGCGTCATGGACCCGGAATGCCATTACACTCGATTTTCTTTGCGCATTGTTTACGCGCGCTCTTGCCATATTTAACTAGCTTTTCATTTTAAGCAGGCCAACTTGTTTTGCGCAATATAATCGTCGCTGAACTAACAAAGTAATCGTCTCTGCAAAACCTATTATAAACTGCTTCAAAATCCATGCGTTTTCGTAGCATAGTCAACTGAAACCTTAGAATCATAGCGACGCTTCAGTTTCTGTGAGGGCTTCCCTTCAGTCTTGCATAATTCGTATTGTCAATGTAGCTTAAGTCCTTCAAGTTTACCTTTACGTTTATTGTACCTTTAACTAAATTGTAATTAACTGGTCAAACGTTCGCGACCGCAGACCGGCGGCTGTTTGTATCACGCATCTGAACATTATTTTGAATATCTTGTGCAACCGTATTGTGCTCGATGTGCTCTAATTGACACGCTTCGACACTTAAAACAATAGCTTGGTTTCAGTAATGTTTGTTTGTTTCCATTTCGTCTTTCCTGTTGAAAATGATGTAGTACGAGTGTGATTGTAGCTAGCTATACATCTTATTTTTTGTCATTAATTGCTAACGCGACTTGTTAGCATTTTATTGGTTGCGTTTGACGGTTTTGTTACACAACAGCAGTAATTAACTTTGAGTAACAGCGAGCGATGTCTTTTCAATATGTGACCACGATCGCTCAAGATAGGGTAGAAGTTTCTTTTCTTTGAGTCCTCCGATGAGCGTCACGCGAAAATATCCAGTCCTGTATGATATGAGAACCCGTCTTAATTCAGTTATCTCAAGTGGTATGTAAGATTCATTCCACGCAGGCCAAGTTAAGTGCCCTATTATTTTCCTTTTGTGCTTTTTCATTTACACAAATATTCATTGGCTGTTGCACGAATACTACTTCCGGTATTTTTTGGATTATGTAACAGAATTTAAATGTACTTACATTTTGCGGTTAGTCAAAGGCTAGTATAAAACCCCAAGTCACTGCAAGTTTTAACCTCACTTCTTTCTAGACGTTCATCTTTGAGGGGTAAAAATTCAGTACTCATTATTATAAGTTTTCGTGATGTAAGTTACATTAGTTATGTCGTTTGAATATCCCCCTCTTCACTATTTGATGGTTAACTTAAATTCTGTCGACACAAGCCTCAGACTATGTTCAGGAGACGACAATTCACTCCAAATAATCACTATAGTTAATTGGATTAGGATTGCATGCATTTTGTATTTGCGCGTCCACTTCACAGAGAGTATTTTGATATAAAATAGCTATAGCGTTTGCTCTACAAACATTCTAACTACAAATGCATTAAATACTTGACCAAGGTTTTTTGCTTTTCTCTGTTTTTGCAGAAGGAGAAAGCTTTTTTAAAACATGTCGTTCGGTTTTAAAACTTGTTTCGTGAGTATGCGAAACTGCTAGCCGCACCTTATCAAGATAAATTAGTTCTCGACCATTGCTTGAGGCATAAGATAGAAACAATCAATCACTCAAAGCAGTAAAATAGCATGTTATGTTTTTTTTTTAAATTTCCGACAGCTATAATTAGCTATTGCGACAAATGTTTCTTCATACAGATTTCACTCCAGCCTCAAACAAACGAAACGTTAAGAGCGAGAGCCGCATGGTGTGAACGAAATCACTGAAAGAATTGAAATAATATAACGGATGTCACCTTTATTATATTTTCGTCGTGATGCGATTCAAAATGCAGTCATGGTTGGCGTGACTCTCTAATCGAGCACAAATCAATCAGTTGCCACTGCGCTCACATATGCAACTAAGAAATCATGATCAATTAGTGCAAATCTGAAATAAACAAGGAAATATATATATTTTTGGTTGTTCAGTAGTGCTGGTACTGGCTCTGCAGGTCGTCTTGAATAGCGGGGGAAAAAATATAGTCTAAACGTCACTTTAACACTGCATTCATTTGTCAAGAAACAAACTTGCCTTGTCAGTTCGTAGCTGTCCTCTTTCAAAATAAAAGTTGAAGTTTCCTACGTGTCTATGCAAATGATGTTCTGACCTTTTTGTTTTTAATGAGGTTTTTGAATCCGTGCTTGATCTCACGCCGGGTCAGTCAATCGAGCTCCCGCTGTCTCTTTTCTACCGCTAATAAAGTTGCACATGGTTGAAAAATCTTGATTGTTTGAGAGCTTTTAATGTCAGTGCTGCTTTCTAGTCATACACCAACTTTGACTTGCTCAGCCCATTCAGGATTTCGCATCGCGTTCATGATGTGGTTATCTATTTGTTTATTCATCTTTTTTTTTTTTTCACAGTTTGTGTTTTCTTTGGCGTCCCTTTCAATAAACTAACATATTTACATATGAGCAGTTTTAAACGGTTTCAAACTGAATTATTAATCCACCCAATATCTCCGCTGGTTTCGAAACTGAATGTACTCATTAAAACTCGCTAAATCTACTCATTAAAAGAAAAGCTGCACAGCTAACCAGTCAGAAAGAACTTCCCACGTATAGAGCCATGAAGTGTGTGTGTGTGTGTGTTTTTTTTTTTCCTCTTCAAGATTTAGGCCATTTCATATTCTTATTGACTTCTTGCTCTAAATGCTTTTACTTCGCCTTTTTCTATGAGGGAATTGACCACTAGTGTTCGTACACTAGAAAACGTGAGCGAATTCATTTGTTGATTGTTCCTTGATCCAGAAGACCTTTTTTTGTCCACAAATGTAACCATCGATCAAGAAATTTTCCAACATAAGCGAACAAAGAAAAGGCTCCTCTTCCTCTTTTTCCTTTATCCTATATTCGTTCAGAAGTTTTAATATTTATATCTCATACAGAACAATTTTCAAAGGTTCCCCATCACTCCGAACGTCCGTTAAACTAATCTAGGAAATAAAAAAGGTGCTAATATATGTAACAAATATGCTATATCAATGGGTTAAACAATATTCTATTCTATAATTCTATTTATATATACGAAATTTTAGCTTTAAATCTTTAGTTTTACATTTTTAACCTTTTATACTAATTTTTAACTAATTTTTGGCATATTATAAGGTTTATAAATTTTCTTATTTTATTTTTAGCAGGGCCTCTATTGATAGCAGTTTTATTTATAGAACTAACGGAGATGCCCTGAAAAAGTAAAGGTTTTACTTACTTACCTAATACGAATCAATAGATTTGAAGGCGGCTAATCTCGGCTAGACGCGCCTGAGCGTCGACAGACAGACCGACAAATCAGTTAGCAGAAGGCCAAAAGGCAGTTCTCTATTATAAGAGAAACTGTTGCTCTAGATTTTTAAATTGCAAAGAACGTTTTTAAAGGTAGGAGTCGGGGTAAAAAAAAAAATTACCTTAATTTTCTATTTAATAAATAAATAAATAAAATAAAAAACCTTGAAGAAGTGTTCTCAGGAATTCAAGTAAAGCTGATTAACCATGTTAAAATGGGCTAATTTTAGACCCATCTGGCCCGTACGTCAGTGCCCTAGTGGTTTGCTAATTATAAACGTAGAAGTGGGAGACAGTCAGCCAAAATAATTCCTGCATCGAGAATATGTAGCTGGATTACAAAGTCGGAGTTAGTGTACAGTATTTTAAGGCAAAAACGATTCCCCCTAGATACGTCCAAGATCAAGTACGTCTGAAAATGTGTAAAGTTATAAAAGTAAACTAACCTGAAGAAGGGCTATGTAAAATACGCTTTATAATAATCACGCACATGTGGTATCCCAAAATAAATAACATGTACTATATTATACACTTTCGCGAGGGAAACATTTAGTTTTGTTTTACCGAGAATCGAGAGTCGAGGGAAAGCAAAACTAACTCTTTCCCAAGAGACCAATGATTAAGCCGTGTGTTTTTTTTTTAAATAGCTGAAGTTTGGTGTAAAGTTTTAAGACAAGGAAAAGTCAAAGTAACATATGGTTAGTGGGAGAGCGGGCAACTATTGCTTAATTGTTGCCCGCTGGGGAAGAAAAGTTAGATTTAGCCAATGCCACGTGACTATAAAACAACCAATAGAGGTGCCCGTTAGATTCAGCTAAACTCCAGCTTGATAACAAAGAACAAAACTTGGATAGTGAGTTTTTATTCTGATTTTCATTTGCAGCGCCTGCCTTAAAAATGCAACTCGACATGGCTTTATTCTTTGAAAATTTCTTTCACAGCGACGTTTCGCATTTTACAGCAGTCTGTGTTTAGGGTCCGCTGTCTAGAATTTTTTTTTTAAGTTAATAAACATTAAAATAAATGAAAAGAAAATGCCAAGTCAAGGAATTTCTGGTTAGAACTGAAAGGCGTCGACATTTGAACTGTTTAATCGTCGCCCACCAAGACGCTTTAGGTTCAGGCCCCGTCCACACGCATCCGGCGAATTCGGCAGCGAGTCCTGGTATTTTTGAATCCGCTCTCCAGAGTGGAAAAAATAAATCCGCAACAAATTCGATAACGTGTGGACGGTGAATCCGGATATTTTCGAATCCGATGACGTAGCAAAATCGTGTCCAGTCTCTTACCGAAAAATAAACCAATATGGCGGCACAAAGTGTAGGCCTAGTTTCTCTAGAGTGGATCCGGAAACCATCGAATGCGTGTGGACAGGCGAACTCGATTTGAATACGTTACGTGTGGACGGGGAACTTTTGAATCCGGAAAGAAAAAGTTGCGGATTCAAAAATATCCGGACACGTGTGGACGGGGTCTAAATGTCGCTCGGAAACATCGAAATAGACCAATTTCGATATATTAAAATTCAGCCTAAAACAATAGACCTCTGCAGAGTTTGTGGGGTTTATTCCCCAGAGCCTCGTTCTGAGGTCTATTGTGTTAGGCTGAATTTTAATATATCGAAATTGGTCTATTCTCGGGAAATCAAAACTAACTGTATCCCTCGGGACTGGTAATCAAGTGTATATCGTCACACGGTGGGGCCTGAGGCTAGACTTTGATCTACCGACAAGAAGTATTGGTCGTGTGGACATCCTGACACATATTGAAAGGAACAGGCCATAAAATTTCTCGCCATGAAATTATTGTTTCTTTCTCATAAATGGTTGTCTATTTTAAACGTTTCAAACTTTGTTTTTCTTAGCAAATCCATGTTTGAGCGTTGATTTCAACAGGATCATCAGGAGAGTAAACAAGACATCCTGCTTTGTTGTTTTTATTTCGCAGCAGGCCCACCTTTTTGAAAAGAAATTTCGAATACACGCAGCAAAACATCACGTATTAAAAAATCAAAAATACATCGGCTAAATATCTCGACAAATCCAGCAATAACAAGCGTCAAAACTAATGGCTCTTATGTTATTCTTTGCATTAAATAACATACGGAAACAGAGTCGCCCTTTTGTGGACTTTTCCTCTTAAAATGGATCGAAGTTTGCTTGCTTTGATCGACATCATATGCCAGCCATCTGCTTGTCGTATAATAATAAAATATACGACCAATCGTTTGATATGTTTTATCTTTATCAATATTCTTTACAAGTCTTATTTAAGCTCAAAAGTAATTACCTATAAACAAAAATCAAAACAGTAACCATCACAATATATCCAATAGTGGTTTCTTCATTGCAATGATCTCGGAATTATCGCCTCGCATAATAATTCATGTTATAAACTGCTAAAGAAAGAGTGCGACGTGCGACGGCAAGTGCTTTCAAAATAATTAACATATGTGCTCGCGGTATAATTTTCAAATTATGTTTTCTATGAGCCGTATTTTTTAATTCATTTTTTTATGTCGCTAATTACTCTGATTTGTTTCCCTTTTTGCAGGTAAACTTCTGAGGAATACTAGAGCGAATTTGGACAGTTTAAAGCTTCGGAAGGGTTAGATTTTTAGAAGTAAAGATAAAGAAACAATCACCTTGACTACCTTTACGTTTGAACTTTAGTAGCCAAACGCATTGGCGGTTTGTCGTCGATAACGCAGAATTGCCATTTTGAAGAAAATAACACCCGGAAGGTTCAAGGAAATTAATTTCATTTTAAGCCTAAATCCAGCAGACGGAGAGTTTTGTTCCGTGACTTTAAATCCGACGAGTTCCGCTGCCGCGAGCTATGGTTGTTTGTGATTAAGGTAACAGTTTCTTGGAAATATGGCTGTTACGCCTTTCGGATTGCTCCTCGGTTTGGTTCTTCTTGTTTACGTCCCTTCGCCTACCACCGGAGAAGTCAAGCTTGGTCTCCTAATACCGTTTAAGGAGACTGCTTCACTTGGTAACTCGTATCATCGCGGTGAGTTCTATGCCTCGGCCATGAGTATCGCCGTAGATGACATAAACCGAAGGCCGGACCTGCTACCTGGTCAAAATGTTACATTCATGTGGAACGATACCCGCTGCGAAGAGTTTCAGACACTACAATCGATCGTTTGGCAACTGAATGAAGGCGTTACGGCATTTATCGGCCCGGGATGTAGTTGTAACACGTCCGCTAGGATGGCAGCGTCGTTTAACAAGACCATGATATCGTATGTAAGTAGCCCACTTATTAATCAGTTGTGTGTGATAATTCATTCGAATGCGTACTTGTCTTAACTGCTGGAGTTAGGGAAATGAAGACATCTTTAATGGAGTTTAAACCACGTTTTGAACAGCAAGCACGAAGGCCCAAAGTTCTATTTTCTTTGTTATACATGCTGCTAAATTTTCGTAATGAGATTTTCAGTGTTGTCATGTTTGTTTTAAGTTCATCTCACAAATTAACGGTATGTAGCGGTTCGTTAAAGTGCAAAATTCGAAAAAAATGGCATTCTTTCGTTTCGTGTCATTTTTTTCGGATTTTTCTTTGAATTAAATTTTCACGTTCTATGTTTATATTAACAATAAACATCGCAAAAAATTCAACATGTTCTGTCCTGAGGTCAGAATATTGACTCTTTTTGCTGGATCCATACATTTCTCTAATCGTGAGTTCTGAGAACTTGGTGCCACATCAATACAGTATCCGCTGTCTTATTGACAATAGATTGATGCTACAGATGAACTTCGGTCTTGTTTATTCTTGAGTATTTTTTTTAAAGTTCTGAGTTTCCAGGCAGGTTTTTTTTCGACATGTTGTTAATATTCACAGTTCATTATGCCGCTTTAGTTTTGGTTACGTTCTACTTCATTGTATTACAATAAACCTTTCTTAAGTGTGCAAATAGGGCATTTTAAAGTTTACCATAAATAAAGCTGAACATCTGGATTTTTAGAATTAACAATTATGATAGCTTTTTCGGGCACGCTGTACCACCCTTTGCTAAAACGCTGTCATTTGCAATAGGAAAATTAACAAGGTTAAATCTATTTTTTGCTAGTTAACCTCCTCGAGTGGTTTTTATATACTAGTTCGTCGTTCACTGCGGTTTCTTTCGAATTGATTTAAATGAGCGATTTCTTTTTTCAATACATATAGATTTTGTCAGGCAAATTTGCCTCCGTCAGGCGGCAGGCAAATGATCCAAGGCTTTTAATCGCTTTTACTTCGTTTAATTCGAAGAAGCAAATAAATGCTTTTTACTTATCAGCAGACTCTCTTCTGAGAAATTACCTGTCGTCTTTGTATTGTGATCTTTTATATTATTATGTCAAGCGTCGCTCACTGTGTGGCATTAATTTACATACACAACAAGGACAATTTCAAAATCATTCAAGGTCGATTGTGTTATAACGAGAGAATTAGAGAACTGATCATAACATCAGCAATTAAAACAGTGGTAAATTTCCGAAGTTGGATTTTAATCGGCTTGGTGAGAAAATTCTGATGGTTCACTTAAGTCAGTGTTTGAATAAGCAAGCATGTAACTAAAAGCCAAGGGTTGTGTTGAAAAAGGTTTTTTATGGTAATTTTAAAAAGAAAAGTCGGATCTCCTGGCATTTGGGATTAAAGCTGTGAAATGCATATTGTATTTATTATTTTTTTCTCGCTGTTTTTCTTATCATTTATGGCCAGATTAGAGAACAGAAAATATTCTCTAATCACTTCGTACTGATTCATTCGTAATTATGCAATCAGTGCAAAGCGCAACGGTTATCGTGAAGGACATTAGGCGAAGTGAGGGTTTTAAACATGCAAATTAAGTTGATAGCGGTCAGATACTGGTCAGATGTTCCAGATATCGTTTTGACCTTTTTATCAATCGATCATGTCAAATTGAACGTAATGAAAACAACTCCAGTGCAGGTGAAAAAGTTAATACTGCGTCACGGTATGAATTCTCTGAAAAACGTCTATTGACTATACGACACAGGCATTCGACAGCGGTGCTGAAGAAACTGTTGTGGGGCACTGACTGCCGAGTAAATCGTAGAACACCACTTTTACTAATTATTTCATGAAAGACGTTTCTTACCAGAAATGGCGATAATCACAGGTTGGGAGAAGAAGAAGAATAACAACAACAACAACAACGTTAGACGGAGTCTGGAGCAAACCACGACGAGCACCGCCAAACGAAAGGTTTAATGAGCAAAACAAACGCTGTACAAGTGTGTTCAGTAAACCTTTGCACATTTCATAGCCGTCCTCTGCAAAACAACAACGCAAAATGACCGCGAACGCGAACGATGAGTCGAACTGCTAATTTTTCGTGTTTCCATTTAGAATTGAACGCTGTCATTACATATTTAGCCTGAGCGAGGTTTTAGAGCTATAGGCACCCTGGACAAATTTAATTTTACAAGGCGTTGTCCTCGGAGTCGCTGTCGTCATTGTTAAGATCCCTATATTTGCATTTCGGATGCTGGAAGGTCGATACACTTGTTTAACGTGGGGTCTGTCATCCTAAGTGGCTGCTTTGTGCTTTGCATGCTCATGTTTTATCCCAAGGCCAGTCGAACGCAGATGAGTATCGTGTAAAAACCGTAAAAAGTCACATAAATTGCAGCTCTCTGCCAAGGATTCAGCGATTAAGTTGTCGAGCGTTTCGGTAGGAAGTTTTGCGCTCCTGCTGAAACAATCTCGTTCACGTTACTTCGCCGATGCAATACCTTTTCATCTTCCCCATTACTACAAGGCAATCGTTTGTATCTTCTTCAGTGTAGCGCTTTGAACACTTAAAGGCCATCGTCATCAATAACGTCCTTAAACATGACGAATTGGTACTCGGGGCTTTCCCGCTCCAAACCAAGTAATTATTACAGTATTTCTCTTTCCATAGCTTCCCGTTCTCGGGGATCTCGCTTCTTAATTGACCTCAAATCTATATGTTGGGGAGGCAGTGATATCTGGTGGAATAACATTGAAAATTGTGACGCTTTAGGCGGCAAGGCACCGGAAGTTGTTTTCGCTCGTAGGCATTCGTAGACGGTAGACGTTGTCGAGCAATTTGAACTACCTTTCGCTGCGGCGTGTAGCATTAGATGGCAGAGAGAACCTTAAACGAACGCCATAAATCAAGGCTTAATCCGGCTACTGTAACTCAAGAACGCGTATATTATATAACTGTATGTACAGCATAAATTACATAGCCGTTACAGAACATAAGCGTGCATATAAGTGCGACACTACCCGGATGGTTGGGCGGCCAATTAACTCCACCGCAATATACACATCTCGCTTAATCTCTCTTAAAACAATACCTCAATATCCCCTCACAGCCTGCATTTCAGTAATCCCCTACATATACCTACACAACCTACAGCTCATTAATCCCCCACATATACCTACACAGCTCACTCCTCATTAATCCCCCACATATACCTACTCAGCGTACATTTCATCAATCCCCTACATATACCTACATGTACACAGCCTACATTTCATTAATCCTCCACATATACCTACACAGCCTACATCTCATTAACCCCCTCTAAAGATATCTACGCAGCCTACATTTTATTAATCCCCTACATATAACTACACAGCCCACATCTCAATAATCTTCCACATATACC